CACACCTTCTGCAACCACCTCGTTTTCCGGTGGTTACAAGAGCTGCGCCAATGGCGGCAGGAAATTCGCGAAACTTCACTTTCGAAAGTTATGCGTCCGCAGCACTTTGCGGTTCATCGAGTGCCGCAAGTGGAGATAATTTCGAACGAATTTCTGCAAATTTACGCGGCAGAATTAAAGCGACTCTGACGAGTAAAACCTGTACGCTTAACACGTCGACTGCCAACTGAATTCGGTCGAAACTCACTGGAGTAATATTTACGAGGCGATAAGTCGACGGAAGTTTATCGAAGAGCATAACTGCGAAATTATGCTCGAAGCGATCTTTATCGAGCCATAATATTTTTAAGCGCTGTTACGAAGTGTTATGTGTAAACGATATAGAATCTGTTATAGAATATCGATTCTCTATATCGTTATTATATGTAGCAGTTATCGTGTTAAAATTTCATTATTTCCACATAAAAATTAAATTTATCTGCTTTCGCAAAATCAGTAACGTCTAAGGTATGATATTACAATATGAACGTTGAATTTTTTTAAGTATAGTATTTACCGTATAGTATTTCTTGCTGCGTACATATAGCGATATAGCTATACTGTGTTAATTTATGCTAACGTCGTATCGAATCATGATATCTGATATCGACATCATTCCGTCATCACGTGTTCATGCTGCTGCTGTTCTCGTAACGCCAAGTAAACTTTTCAACTCAATCGCGATGCATAATAATAGATGCCTGCCTGTACTTGTAAACGTGGATATGCGATCTTTCCGCGAGATTTGCCCTACCTATCACGCGAACAAGGTTAAAACCAGATCATATTGCACTTCTCCGACAAGTATTGCGCATGCCCTTGACATTTTTTAAGGAAATTCTACGCGCTTCCTTGTGATCGGATGACACGGTCGACTTTCCGATCAGGAAAGCATTCAAGAGTAACGGAACGAATCAGCGGAATGAATCGCTCACGAAGAACGAAACAGACAGAAGAAGACAAATCGTGAAGACTGAAAGGGAGAAAACCTTCATCATCGACAACTTATAAATCGCGATTACAGCCAATACGAAAGTTTTCATCTACTTTCACTCTCTTTTCTATGACGGAACACAAACTTGTCAATTAATAATTAATAGAATTCCCCGGTGTGCTGCAATCTCTCGTCGATGCAACGAGAGCTCTCCAGCTTACTGTTAATTCAGCTTTTATTTAATTTTATCCAGACAATTACACCAATCTCGTGAATTTTCTATTTGATACCGACATAATAATAACAACACAAAACAGAAAAGAAAAATTAAATTTCAATCACAGTATCACATCTATCATTCAAGTTATTCAAATTAATCACTCTCGTCACTCCATTACTTTCTCTTATATGAAATTCGCCCTGTTTTGCGTTGGATGGCTGATAAGAGCCATCCTTTTCCATTTTTTGGTCGACCATACGAGGATTTTCCCCTAGATGCCATGACGCTACTTTACCATACAAAGGAAGAAGAAGCGATATCTTCGTAATGCGACTCCTCCTCCCCGTCTAATCTTCCTCTGTCCTATTCCAGCATCATCATTTATTCGAGGTGCCTATTTACGCGCGAGCCTTCAAAGCCGCTTTCACAAGATAACCCTAGCTCATTCGAGCAAGATAACGTCAAAGTGGTCTTCCGCTGAGGGATATCGCGGCCGAGAGAGAACCGATTGAAATAGCTCCTGTGTATGTACGCGTGTATATGTGTGCACGTGTGTGCGAAAGAGTGACTATTTTTCAAGGATGACCGATCAAAACGATCGGAAACGGCGTCAACGAGAAAATAAACGTCAATCTTGAAAGGTCTGACCGACACGGCACGAAACATTGACCGAGTCTTTGTAGTTTGCACGAGAAATTTGCTCCAACTTTCGTGATACGAAAGGGGACGCAATTCGACCCGCGCCACAAATGACCATACGTCTCGCACGTCGTTGAGTAAAGCGTATTCGCGAACAGCTAGGCGGTCACTACGAAATGAACAAAGTTTTCTCCAAGAGAGAAATTACGACCAGACTGTATACCGGTGAAATACGTTTTCTAGTTCAATGGGTTTCTAAATATTTAAATGTACATCAACAGACTTTGTATTTATTCCAATGAATCGAAATAAAATAACTTAAACGATAATACATAAATTAATTTAGGGCATTTAGGAATCCGCGCTGTAGTCGGTAGAAGGAATTTTATTACGGTCATTATAAATCGAAATAAAGTTACATATATCAATGTTTATATATATATATTATGTATATATTAATATTTAATATATAAAATTAATTGATTTAAGTGTTAAAATAATAAATGAACTATATCTATCTAATAATAAATATATAAATTCTAAAAAAAAGTTCTACTAATACAAACGTTCGCGAAACTTATTCGAAATTTATTTTTATATGGTAATGTTCAATGATACGTTTGAAGGTTTCAGAACGTAGGCACACTTCAAAGGAAGAGTATACATATCAGAATACGACTAGGAAACTGTTTTAATGGAAGAACGATCAAAACGAATTGGCGCATCGAGAGCAGCCATGATGAAAAGGCGAATGTCAAGTTCGAGAGAGGGAAATGTCGAAGCAAAAGAGCCACGACGAATCCCCGAAATTTCTTCGTGGAGCAGGAAGGGTCGACTCTATACTTCGGCAGCACGTGAATTTCATTGTGTCTAAAGAGAGGGATAGAATGTCGACGCGACATCACGTTTAGTGGAACGCGTCAAAATGAACATCTGCAAGTAGAGCATTTTGCCAAATTTACGAGCGACTCGTGGAATCGCTTCACGAGGGCACTAAATAAGGAAGGGCGACGTAATCGATCTGCTTTACGCGTGTGTACGTGCATAAGATACGCGAGAATGCTTTTAAAGGACGAAGGAATTTTTGATAGAGGGTTTATAAAGAAACGTGATATAATCATGCCGAGACAAAAAGAAAGAGGAAGACAAGAAAGAGGGAGAAAACTATAAATGGATTTTGTCGTTGGATCAAATACAAAATTTCTGTCGATTAATTTTAAATAAAGACAATACAAGACATATCAAATTAATTATCAAAATAATCTATAAAGCAAATCGAACGGAATATTAAATCGCGTCTTATATCGAGCGTTTTATTACATTTCACAAGTCGCTATCGTATTCACAAGTTATGTTCATTCAAATTTGGTACAAACAGCGTACTTGAACGTCACTCTAGTGATAAGGGTGCCGTCAATAGTGGCGTCATGCACTAAACCCGTATCACACTATGTATTGGAGATTCAGGATTGTGAACTGAAAAAATTAGAATAGAGTAGTCACAAATTCCTCACCTAAAAATTCCATAACTTTTCCTTGATTTCCAAACAAAATTTCATGATTTTCTCTTACTTTTAATATTATTTAAAATTTTTTTTGTATTTTCGTCCTGATTTGGAAACCGTTAAATATTTTATTAAGAGATCAATTTAACATAGAAATGCAAATCACTATTAATGTCGCCGACATTGCTTATATTTTTAATTGTTAAGTTGATGATATCTCAAAACTAAAAGAATTTTTATTTTTTAGAAAATTTTGCAAAATTTCCTAACTTTTCCCTCATTTCCTTGATAATTCCTTGATTTCTCTTATTTTCTAATTTTGTGGCAATCCTGTAAAATTCAGCCAATCAGAACAAAATGGATTAAAATTAAAATTAAATATCTGACTGATCGAACTCTAATTCGCAATCCTCAATTTCTAATGCATAGTGTGACACAGACTTTAGGGCCTCTTTCATCAATCTCCGATTAAGCAAACCGACGGTTGAACTTTGCAATAGTGTCAACAGTTACCCATTTCTATCAATATAGATTAATCTCACTTTAACTTACTTTCAATCTTTTTTCAGTTTTAAAATTAAAAAAAAGATAAAGAATAAATTGAATCGAAATGAAAAATTAATATACATTGGTAGAAATAGATATTAAAAGAGAAAGAAATATGAGAAGATGTAATACGCATTGAACTGTTGTTATGAAATAAGAAAATTACCTAAAACCCTGTTGGTATAAAATAAGAACATAAATGTAACATTGCACATAATAGCGATAGCATACTGGAATAGCCAATCAAATTTGGGTCCAAATTCACTCATTGGGCCATATTCATTACTACGCATGCACAGAAATATTATACCTGAGTCTGTATTCTATACACCCACGGTTCTGTCCCTCGGAAATTTCCACAAAATGAGAAATGACCATCTTTCTACATTAATACTTATAGTTCATGCACGATTAACTACATGACTAAAATTTCGCTTACGACCACATTTGATATAAAGAAATAACTTGAATTTTCAAAAGTTTTAAATAAATAAATACAATAAAAGCAATTTTTTCAACAACATGCAAAATACGATGAGTTGTAAGAAGCTTTGGCTATATTGTTAATTGTGCATGAACTGTGAGCATTAATGTAGAAAGGTGTTGTTCACTTCTCAGTTTATGAAAACTTTTTAGAGACAATCGATTACTGTCGGTGTCGATAATAAACGATAGCCAATGACAAGGAAAAAAACGCAGTTTCCATTGGCTGTCGCTGACGATACCGATAACTCTCGGTAGATGTGTACATTTATGGATTATAAAAGGTTGCAACACTTTTTTTTAAAGGTTTCGAATTGCAGCCTTATAGATCCGCGTAAGTAAGAACCAATCGCTCGACGAATAGGCTGCATTTCCAAACCTTTAAAAAAAAGTGTTGCAACCTTTTAGTCCATGAGTGTACAAAATGCTGGCCCTGTCTTATTAGATCATGGTTGGCACTACTGCGTTAGTTAATCATCGATTGGCTAACTTAACCGGAAATTGATAAATTGTTAGTTCATGGTGGTGGAAGTATACTTCCACTATGAGTCAGTCATTCTAAATACGTTGTTCTGAAGACATCATTCTGTAACATGCGTGCAGCAAGAAGATTCTCCATAAAACATTTATACATAACACCGGCTTATTATTGCATAAAGAGTATTAACAAGGTAATGAATCAATCCAGTAATTATAACTCATATCGATGATATCATAAAAAATGAATAATGTCAAAAATACTCTAACTAAAATTTAATATGTTTATTGTTTATAATTTATGTTTATATATATATATATATATATTTATCATTGGTAAATTTTTTCGTGGCGATAAATATCGTGATGAAATTTTCAAATATACAGATATTCGTGCGTATCTAACCTTAATGCGTAAGCGGGAAAAATCCTGACGACTATATGAAGGGAGAGAGAGTGAGAACGTGTTGGTAGAATACATCGGAGTGACGTACGAAACAGAAGGGCGAGGGAGACGGGGAGAGTCTTCAGAGCGCGAACACGTCGAGGGAACTCGCAGAACGGCCGTGCTCGGTAATCCATCACTTGCTGTCTATGCCAGTTCCGTGGCAGGCGCCCCAGGCTAAACCAATCCATGCATTTCATTCCAGTGACTTCACTCGAACCCGCCATTTTTCATCACACGGCGTAGCTGCATCATCATTTTCTGATACGAAGCGTATACCGACCTATCGCGCCGACCGGCACCTCCTCCGGCGACTCATCCGCGGAAACGCAGTCATTCTCCTCTCACATCTATCGCGACGATAACGAGAAGGCGCACTCAAGCTCTGATATTGTAAACGATGTATCAAGATTGAGATTTGCATTTCGTTCAATTAATAACTCATAGAACGCTTGCACATAACTCAATTAAGTATTGGTGAAAACATTTTTTAATATTATTTTTTAATATCATTCTTTATATTCTACACTGAGAAAAAAGTGTTTGAAATTTGCAATCATAATTGAATTAAAATAAATATGGATATACAATTAATATCGCAAGAAAGTTCGCATAAATCAGTATCGGACGTTTCGACTTCATTCGAGACATCATCAGCGATGTCAAACAATGAATGTGAGAATTATACGTATCTCAACGATCCAAGTGAGCAGCCGGAAGAACCTCTTCAATCCTATAAAATGAATATACATGACGTTTCCAATTTTGTGATTCTTCTTACTACGATATTAATCATAGTAATGATATTCATAGTTATATATAACGGAAAACGGATACGTAAAAAGAGGAAAAGGTATAGCTGCAGCCAGGGCTACAGCAAAAATAAAATCAACAGTGTAATTATATAACTATACAATAAACATAATAGCACGACAGAAAAGTATTTCCCGTTTTCTATTTCAAGATATACTGTATAGAGATGTCAGTGCGTTAGAACAAAGACTGTCTCTGCCGGTGACTCAAAGTTCCCGAAATCGTGGTGAATCGACGCCGTGTAATACCTTAAAGAGTACTTCTTCCTTAGAGTCTCTCTTCCGCGCGCAGCTCGAGACTGAACTTTCACAAGAGTCGCGATCCATCATCGGAATGGCCCCTCGAGGAACTCGTTGCGACGAACTTCCGGTCACTACGCCCGACTCTCTGTTCGAAAATACGTGGACTTGCTACGAAGAAAAGTCCCGGTACCTAACTCTTTCTCTCGTATTTTGTCTCGCGCGGCTTTGTTTCTCGTCGTCTACGACGCAACATTGCCTACTCCGAAACGTTTTCACTTCGTAGCGAAAATAAAGGCTAAAAGCAAATACATCCGGAAAATCGACAATAGCTGCACCGTTGGCTAACTTTATGTGAAAGTAAATGTAGTAAATGGCCAGTAGTTGAAAAAAAATGTGGACAAGAATAGCTATTGTGTCTCGCAATTAACACACCTGAATTTTACTATTTGCTTCGTTTGTTCATTTTGTTACGCATCGTTCATCTCTGAGATCTTAAATAAAAAAGCTTTTTCCAAAAACTATATATTTTCATATACCCACGTATACCTATATATATATATATATATATATACAGACCGGTAATAGTTTCGATTGCATTTTGCATTCTACAATAATCTATACACGATACATTACAATATGTACATATTCTTTTTCATAAACTATATATCTGAGATAAAATATAACATGTTGCTACAAAACATGATACAACAAACCGCAAAAATAATTATGTAACTAATTCTACTGAAGTCAATGTACTGATATCTATTGTTCCTTTATTGTATACACAATATTACAAATAAAATTATCACAATTCTTTATATTGCACACGGATAGAATTTTTTCTTTATAGAATTTACTCTGAAAAATATGACAGTCGTGAGACAACATTGTACTTCGAAGAATTTTAATGTAAATCTCTCTCATTCATTAATAAAACTACAATAAGTTATAAAATAAGTTTGATATTCATTTTACTGAAGTGCATGGTAAAAATCTTTAAAATATTGTATTGTATCACAACTAGTAAATTTTAAAAGAAAATTCTCTCCGTGCAGAGATCTTTTTGCAAATTATAATTATGACGACTATCATTCTGAAGCTACGTTCGCTGTTTCTTCCTAAGCAAAAAAAAAAAAGAACAAATTTAAAGCAAGCAACCGAATAAATCTTTCGTTACACGTACAGAGCGTCATTTCGATCTGTGCGCACCGAGACAGCCGAGTATCGCGAGCGAAATAAATTTCGTCGTTTACGTTTCGCGACGGAACCATAATGCAAACCATCCGTCCCAGCCATTCCGCGTCTGTCACGCTCTTCCGCGCGCACCGCGACGAATCCAGTAATTAAATCCGACTCGAAGCGAGCCAAAGTAAATGAGCGATGTCGGTACCGCACTGGCGGCTGTCTTTAGCGCTGTCGGTGTTGCTACCGCCGATTTTCTGGTGGCATTGGCAGTGAACGCAGCCAAACGGGAATACAGGAAACGGACGGCAATGATGAGAAAGAGAGAAGAGGGAAAGGGGTGAGCAAGCTGGGGGGGAGGGGAAAGAGCAACCTGTGCAACGCACGAGCTATGCTCTACGTGGCTGCACAGACGTGCACATCGCGTAAATGTTGCCGCGTCAAGGGCTCAATTAGCGAGCGATAACGAACACTCCAAAGTAAACACGGCAACGAAGGGATCGGGTCAAACTCGCCTCAGCTTTCCTCGCAAAGCTCGACAAGCTCGACGAACGCCGCGGAAAATCACGTAGATTTGTGCCGCTAAATGCGGAAACTGACTGAAAAAGATTTGCTTTATTGTCTCTTTACGCCGCTGGAAGGATTTTAGATTAGAGATAAAAACAAATTTTTTAGATAAACGTCGTATAAACTCGATGTAATAATGTAATAAAAATAAAGGACAAGAATTTGTAACTCTCCGTTCTCGTTAGTCTACACATGTAAATTGTTGTTTGGTAATTGGTCACTGACTGAATATATATTTATAAAATATAACTCACTATCGAGAATATTTCCATTTCTAAATTATTTGTACGTTTGATCGTACACACACATCCAGATATAGTTATTTTCGAAAGTATCGAAGATATATACGATTTGTTGATCGCATCGATAACAGGGGAAACAGTCGTAGTTTCATATGCGTTAATCGCGGTGTACCTCTTGTTTTGTTTCAATTATTTATTAATTAAAACAAATACTCACGTACGCGCGCAACACGATCGAAAGTAACCGACTTGAATGTGATTACCAAACTGCATTTTAACTATAAATAATTTAAAAATGAAGCTGTTTTTGTAAACAACATTTTGTTATTAACGGATAAATATTATATTATTACAATTTTTCAAAAATGTAAGAGGGTATATCCGGATATACTCTCCTCACTTAACGATCAAAAGCTTTGTCCATTCAGTATTCATCAGTATTACACTTGATTATTTCGAGATTATTTTTTATTATTATTATTCTATAAGTAGACCCTAGTATTATAGTTATATGTTTTTATTTGCGCATATAGTTATCTAAACATTATCAATTGACGAGACTTTATCGGTCAGTCACCCACGGCACCGGTGAAGTGTTGGAGTGCTTCAACTTGGTACGAAAAGCGACGCGACCGTCTACACAGGGCATCAATTAATCCGCGAGAACTTTACTGCCGCTTTAGTACGTTTACTAGCCTTGGTCAAGTAGTTGAGCTTGCGTGATAACTCCATGCGACGAAAGCAGGACTTAAGTCCTTAAAGGGATTTAAGCGTAAGCTGATTAAACGTCGACGCGACCTTCGGACCTTCAAAGTCGATTGGACGTGAATAAGTGAGAAGCAACAGTCGGTGTTTGACACATGCCATCGTATTTCGCGACAATTAGAAACAACTGAATAGTTATCCGTGATGTTATTGTACGACGCGTAATACATGCGTTTAACGCAACACACACACACACAATGTTTGTCGATATCGAAATTAACACATCTTTATGAGTTTTAGTTTCGCTCTTTTTCCCTTCCCATACATTCCAATATTTTCAATTTCAGATATTATGTGAATGCCGGAAAGACCTATCGACACGTATCCACGTATATCGTTCGTAGGAAAAACGTAACGCATTTATATTTACGTACGAAGCTCGCGTATTTCACCTGTTATTGTTTTCTTTATGCGCTTCGAAATGCCGGCGCATCTGTTTTACGAGTTATCCGCAAACCTTCCGAGTTTAAAGGCACGTATCCAGACGCTTTCGAAACTTCCGCCCGCATTCTCCCCTTTCCGCGGCTCTACGAGATGCTGGTAGTGTCTATAAAAGAATGGAGAAAAGGAGTTCATCGCTGCGGCGGCGGCGGCTTCTCTCGTCTAAAGTCTAACGAACGCCGCGCGAGAAAAGTGGCGGCGGCGGTCCTTTCTTGGTGCACGCCCAGCCCAGCCCAGGCTTGGGCTGCTGCTCTCCGGCAACGCTCTCTGCAACGTGGAACATTATTAAGCCGCGTCTCTTTTCTCTGGACTTTGAGACGAGCCCGGGCGTGCGTTTACCATTCGCAGTCCATGATAAATTGTGCATGGCGGAACATTTTAACGGCCTCGTTTCTTTCTGCGTTTAAGTACCGCGCAAAAAGAGCGCGGAGAAATTCACGAGAGAGGAACGCGGGAGGGAATGGCGGCGACGGCAACGGCGAGAGGTGTATAGAACTCCCGGTGAAAGGGGTGGGTTGTGCAGAAACGGGGGAGAGAGCCGCTTACCCCTTTAACTCTCGCGCGGTGTAAACGACTCGCGGAAAAAAAAGAGAAACTGCGCACGGCGAAAATGCCAAAAAGCCAGTTGGCGCGTACGAGTACCGATTCCTTCCACGTGGGAGGCGAAAACTTAGTTCCGTTTTCTACTTCGACGACGAACGTCCCGCCAGGCCGCGCACCATCGAGCCGAATGCGGTGCGTCGCGACGTGGCGTGGCGTGGCGTGGCGTGGCGGCGATCAGCGTGTGGTGTAGTGTGCGTGCACCAAGAGCACCCTGCAAACTCATTAGGGGCTGAAATAAATACTACACTGCACTCGCTTCCGCCTCGCGCTGCTGCCTCCGGTGTTGCAGACTGCGCCTGCAGAGAGAACTTCCGATGAAAGTTTCTCCTAATGAGAGGTGAGAGAGAAAGAGGGAGAAGGAATGAAAGAGATGAGGGAGAGAAATAGAGACAGAAGGGAGCAAAATAGAGAGCAAAGCGCGGATGGGAACGAGGAACATGGAGGACCTGCCGCGTCGCGTTTCTCCAAAGTCAGGATGCTTTTTTCCAGTTTTCGTGCCGGGGAGAGAGTCGCGACGAGTCTCTCCCTCAGCCGACTACTCGTCCCACTCTCGAGTGTTTTGGTCGTTCGAGCAAGCTGGTGCCCTCCTG